GAGGGTCCCGGCGCGGGCGGCTCGGCGACGTCCGGAATCTGGGGTTAGGGTCTGTCCATCACCTCGAGCCGCTCCAAGAGCCCGTTTCCCCCGTTGGGGACGGCGATTGCTCTCGTTGTCTCGCCTTTAGAAAGTTACTCCGGCACTTTCATCCCCGTCCCGAGTGAGAAGGAATCAGAGAGAGATCGCGCGGTCTGTCCCCCGCGAGGGGTCCCGGGGGATCCCGTGCAGTGGGCAGAGCCGGGTGGAACCCAGCGGCGAGCCCCGCCAGGTGACACTTGAGCCCCGGAAAGGGTTAAGCGCGTCCCGCCTGCTCGGTTGACATGTAAATACAGAGCAGCTGCTCCGCGCACGGCCGGGCCGGCCCTTTGCAAGTTGTTGATTGGTTGCCAATGCCCCGGAGCCGTACATTTACAGTCCTGGCAAAAGAGAAAGTAACTATGTTGTGGCTGGAGATCAATGAAGCCGAGTGAATGGGGGGCTGAGTGCGCGGGTGCACACTGAGGCGGCGCCAGATGGTGGAGGGCTGCGCTCCTTTATGAAGTAAGTGGAAGTCCCCGCGGCTGCTCCGAGAGCCCGGGAGCGTTAGGGGTGTGCGTGTGCGTGTGTGTGTGTGTGTGTGTGTGTGTGTGTGAGTGAGTGTGGCGATGCTCACGGGGAGCCACGGCAGGTGAGCTGAATCTGAATCGGGTTCCGGCTGTTGGCTCGCGCCGCGCTGTGCGTTTACTCTCTGCAGTCTGTTTGGATTTTGGACGAAGGGGGGAAAATACAAGGTTTGTTGGGACGCTTTGCGGCAGTTTTAAATGCCCGGGGCTCGTCAATGCGCTGTGTTAGATGCCCCAGGAGCGGGGAGGGAGCATTCTCAAACCACTGGATTGTCTACGATTTCAGCCTGTGCCTAGAGGTGGTGGAGGGTCGAGCAGCCAGGGAGAGGGAGGCAGGCAGCTCAGTGTGTCTCGGGGAGGTTTCCCCGGGCCGGTCTGGTCGGCTTCGCGGGCCGTGTAGACTCCGACCCTCTGCTGCAGGGATGCAGATCTCGCTAGACACCCCGTGCGGGTGTGAGCCGCGCACCCCGCCTGGAGGTTGGGGGGCCCGGCCTGGGTCCCCGCGGACACGCTCAGGCGTCCCTCTCCAGGCAAGTGGGCTGGGGATCCCGGGACGCTGCCTCCCAGGTAACACAATAGCAGAGACTCGCGCCGCTTGGTCCGGCTGGGAATAGTACTTGCTCTTCCAAAAATACTACGCCAGGGAGGGAGGAGAGCGGGGAGGGCAGGGGTTGGCTCCCTCGCGCCCATCCAGAGCTGGGGGAGAGGAGCCTGAGTCGGTGATGACCTGGGGATGGGGTGCCTGTGCGTGTGTGCGTGTGTGCGTGTGTGCGTGTGTGTGTGTGTGTGTATCCTGCTTGTGACACTTGGGCTCCGTGTCCGAAAATGGTGACGGTCGTGTGTAGACGGGTGACAGATGACATTTCCCCAGACATCTCTGAAAGTTGGTTTGCACGAGTGACTCTTGCCCGGGGTTTGGTCTCTTTCCCGTGAGCATGGCTAATGGCAGGGCCGGGTGTCGGGCGCCCCTGTGCCTTCAAGGAGGAAGGAGCTGTCCCCTGGCAGGCGCCCTCTCCAGACAGCAGGCCGACCCGGTGGGCAGTACTCCCCCGTCCCCTTCGGCAGGGACAGGCGAGCTGGGAAGGCATCTTTCTGGGATTCATCGCCTCCAAGAGGGGGATTTGTGTGTGGGGTTGAAATAATGTGCACAGCGCCCGCCTCCCGCTGAGAGAAGCCTAGTCCGTGCCTGTTGGGAGATGAAGTCAAAGCGGTCCTTTC